GGTCGACTATACCCACTAATGCGCGTACACGATGAACATGACATACGTATGTATGGGCGTTGATGGCGCTTGGTAGCTACTCGGGTACTATCATCCCTCTTTACTGACCGTGGTAGTTTTTACTGCTCTCAAACACCTTTCGCTAACCAAACAATCTAAATAAATTGTTTTGTTGTTGTTACTTTGGGTCCCACATAACATTACTTGTAGATATTACATCATGTGGGATAGACGACAATTTCCCAGATATTGCAGTTAATGTCATGAATTTGTTTTTGCTATCTGTTGACCGACTTAATTAGCTGATTATTAGCTGAATTGCTGTGTTATGTTTGTCATCGTTTAGGCCTATTTGAAGTTTTGGACGGAACTTGGCTCAGTGATTTGGAACTAATTATCAGATACCCGCAGCTATTTTGACAGTTGGTATTCATAGTTATTAATGTAGTGAACGATTAATCAAAAGATATGACGTATTCAGTACTTAGTGTGATTGGCTTTATGATTGAAGGTTACGCCCTAGAGTCTTTTTACTGTTTTGTAATTGGTTAGAGTTTTGAAAATGAATAAAGTTGTTTTGGTTGGTCTTGGCGAATACTCCACGATAGACGCAGTCGAGAGCAGTCCTGGAGAGTCGAGTCCAGTCCTGGAGAGCCTTGGGGCGAGCCTTGACGCAGTCTAAAAGAGTCTTGGTTCAGCCTTGCGATAGATCTTGTCTTATAAAGTGCTCGATTGACCGAATAAGACGAGAACTGAAACGTATTTCGTTGTGTGTGTCTTATTTGACTGTAAAGTAAAGTGACATTCCCGATCCCGTACCTCAAAGGGACGAGATATAGAGACGAGACGAGATCCCCCCCTGGCAAGTGTGGAGAACCCCGAGAGAAGAGATTTTCCCCCTGATATTAATGTGAAACAACTACTGAAACTTGTATGCACTATTAAATATTGGTAATAATTACCTTAACACCCAGGTAGCTGTCACCGTTCATACGTCATGCAGGCTCCATACGATTAAATTACATTTGCAATGTGTCAGTAGAAACTGGATGTATTACATCATGTGGCAAATAGTCCTTTATTTAAATCTGAATAACAATGTTTTTCAGTATGCCATGTCCACATTGGTTTCCGTTGATAAATGCAGTATTTTCTTTTTCTAATTTGGATCG